AGTACAAAGTTACATATTAGAAAGTAGCAAAGTATTAATATAAACTCTTTACCTTGGGATGGGGGAATCCAGAAAGTATACCACTTAGTTTTTTCTCCTCACTCTTTTTTTTAAGGTTTATTTATTTAATTTATTCATTAATTATGTATACATGTTTGCCTGCATGCCAGAAGAGGGCACCAGATCTCATTATAGATGGTTGTGAGTTACCATGTGGTTGCTGAGAGTTGAACTCAGGACCTCTGGAAGACTAGCCAGTACTCTTAACCTCTGAGCCACTTCTCTAGCCCCCTCTCCACCCTTCTTAATCATTCTGTCATCAGTGATTTGCAATTAGAACATTGATTTGTTTTGGGTGGAAATGTGTGTAAACTCATGTGAATATGCAGGATTACTGGTCAGCAAGAGTGTGCCTCAAAAATATTTTTCCAGGGATTGGTAGAGAGGTTCAGTGGTTGGGGTGCTTGCCACCAAAACAGCCATCTTGAGTTCTGTCCCTGGGGCCAATTTCTTTGAGTTGTTCACAGCAAAAAAACAAAACAAAAACAAAAAAAGCAATAGATAAATAAATGTTAAAGAGATTGTCCAATTTGTAGCAGCATAGATCTAATGAACAACTTTAAAAAAAAAATACAAAATGTGTTTATTGGAATAGTTCCCACTTAACCTGAATTAGATGCTTTCAGTGCTGCTGCCTCCTGTCCAAGCATCCTTCGTCAGCCTTGCCTTTCTGCCTGTAGGCTGACAGGACAGTGGAGCAGCCAACACACAAGACTACCATTTGTGCATGAGTAAAGACTGCTCATTTTATAGCATCCTGGGCATTTCATATCCATAAAGTAGGAACTGTGACTCTGCACCAGGCACTTTTTCCTGTGTTTCCTCTTCTCGTCTAGAAAGGGATGAAGGAGATCCTTGGCGAGAGGCATATTCTTGTAGGAAGGTCTTGACCACCAAAAAGCTAATGGATAGCTTTTTCAAAATATCTAATATATAGCTAATGGATAGCTCTGTATTTATTTCAAGGATTTATTTTCATTTTATGTGTTTTAGTATTTTGCCTATATGCGTATATGTGCTCTGCATGTGTGCATGGTGCCCACAGAGGCCAGAAGAGGGCACTGGATCCCCTGGAACTGGAGGTATAAACAATTATAATTCACCATATGGGTGCTGAGAACCAGACCCCTGTTCTCTGCAAAAATAGATCTCTTAACTGCTGAGCATCTCTCCAGCTCCTCTTTTTTTTTTTTTTTTATTTTAAACAATAATCTATGCATGAAACATCCTGAGTAAACAAAAAAAAGGATCAAATATTGACCAAAAAAAGTTTGATGCATTTCATTTGTGAATGTTTTATCTTAAATCAGTCTTTTTCGGTTTGTGTATCAGCGTTAAATAGGAATTTAAAAAACAGAAAAAAATATGAACTTTTACAACCTTATAATAAAAATGGTGACTATTTATGGCATTCAATTTTTATTAGTGTCTGTATTTGTTATAATAGTCTGTATTTTTTTAACAGTTAATTTTGTTGTATCTTGTGTTTTGCCTGCATGTATCCTGTGTACCAACCATATGCATTTGCCCAAAGTCTTCAGAAGAGGGTCCCTAAGACTGGAGGTACAAATGGTTGTGAGCCACTGTGTATGGGTGCTGGGAATTGAACCTGTGTCCTCTGGAAGAACAGCCAGTGCTCTTAACTGCTGAGTCATCTCTCCAACCTCATTTATGTCCTATAAAAAGAAAATTCTTCATCATTTCTAAATGTAACTGTAGCATCAATACTTTTTTCCTGCAGGGCGGTGGTGGCGCACGCCTTTAATCCCAGCACTTGGGAGGCAGAGGCAGGTGGATTTCTGAGCCTGGTCTATAGAGTGAGTTCCAGGACAGCCAGGACTACACAGAGAAACCCTGTCTCGAAAAACCAAAAAAAAAAAAAAAAAGAACATCCCTTTGGGTGGTGAGATGGTTCACAAAGTAAAAACTTGCTGTGGAAACCTCATGGTTTGACCTCTGGATATCACAGTGAAAGGAGAGGATTCCTAGAAGTTGTCCTCTGACCTCCACACATGCACTTGCATTCACACACAGACAGATCATATCGAATTACACTCTGAAAATACTTTAAAATTAAAAGCTTCTCTTTGCTTATGTTTTAATAATAACTATGCTAGAAACAGTTTTTGTTTTATTTTGATTTGGGTTTTTTTTTTTTTTTTGACTGTTTTGTATCTTTTGAGACAGGGTCCACTGTGAACCTTGGCTGGCCTGAAACTCACAATGTAGACCAAGCTGGCCTGAATTCATAAGAGATCTGTGTGGCTTTGTCTCCTCAGCACTAGAATTAAAAGTGTGCCAACATGCATGGCAAAATCTTCTTATGTCTCTTGTATTCATTTCTTTTAAAGATGTATTATCTTTAAGTATGTTTGTATGTGTAGGTATATGCCCACAAGTGCAGGTGCCTGCAGAGTTAGAGGTCTAGGATTTCCCTGGAGCTAGAGTTACAGGCAGGTGTGAAATGCCCCAGGTGGATGCTGAGAATAGAACTTGTAAGAACAGTCCCAGTTTAGAGTGGGAGGTCAGCAGTACAGAAGAGGAACAGGAGAACAAAATGTAACAGTCAGATTGGTTCCAGAGCATTTGGACCTGGTAAGTCTGCATAGCATTACAAGTAGTATGTGTGTGGCTGGAGCTGCTGAAGTATTTAGTAAAGAACTGGAGAGGCTGGCAGGACCGGGAACATGTCCTATAACTACTAAGCCATCTCTCCAGCTCCCTTACCTGTATTTTGTAATAGGTGAACTTGCTCTCTTTCTCTGTCTCTCTCTGACTCTGTCTGTCTGTCTGTCTCTCTCTCTCTCTCTCTCTCACACACACACACACACACACACACACATCACCTCTCCTCTTGAGACAGGGTCTTCATATGTAGAGCTAGATTCACAGCATCCTCCTTTCAAGCTTCCTAGTACTAGGATTCACCCCCAGCTACTGCTGCAATGTTCTTTAAAAGTAAATTTCCAAAAGTGTTACTGTGTTAAAAGAAATAAATTCACATCAGGCTTGATGGCTCACACCTTTAATCCCAGCACTCTGGAGGCAGAGGCAGGTGGTTTGAGGATAGCCAAGGCTTTGTTGCATAGGGAAACCATCCCCTGCCAAAACAGCCCCCACCAAAGATATGAATTCTTTGAGGTTTTCCATAAATCATACTAGTTTGCTTCCCTAAAAGGCTTGTATGAGTGTTTGCCTAATGCATTAGCAAGCCCATTTCTCCCATGCTCTCAACAAAATGGAATGCTATCTTAAAAAAAAAAATCCAAACCAAAACTTTTCCTAATTTAAGCTGGCAGTATTATTTTAAATTTCATGCTTTTAAGTTTTTAAATGTTCATGATCTTTACTAATTTTCCTCATTAACTTTATGCACTTAAGGTCTTTTGTAGGTGTTATCCCTTTATCACTAGAAGTGTGTAAGACATAATAGTCTTCAACATAGTTGGTAGATGATGCCAGAGAGAGAGGATGAAAGGAACAAACAGAGCAGAGGAGTCAGAGCTGAGTCTGGAAGGTAGGGACTTTCAAATTGTGGCTAATCTTCAAGAAATGAGTATGTAAGGCTCAGAAGATGAAAAGATGGATCACTTCCCCTGCCTTAAAATTAACCATTATTAATGAAATAGTTATTCAGAAGTTGTCTCTATATTGTGTTCTCAGCTAAAGTGACAGCAGTGTGTGTTTTCTATAGTTTAGTGTCATGTTTCACAGCCTTGAATGTATTGAATTGTTTTTTAAAAGTTACATATTTAAAACAAAAGAAGCATAAAGTAATGCTTGTTTATCTACTAGCTGCCTAAGGGGTGGTGGGCTGGTGGTGGTAGGGGAGAACACAGTTGAGGCAAAGCCCCTCCAGGACCCTTTCTCTGGTTGTGGGTGGTACATAAAACTGATAGTTTGACCACTGTTTGCTGTACCTATGTCTGTAACTAGGTTTTCTAGTTAAGGCAAGGTAAAACACTATGATCTGTGGTAAAGTTAAGTATATTGTTGGGTCGTGTCACTTTCACTAAGTCTCTCTGGTAGCCAAACCCATGCTTGGTTTAATTCAGTGTCTCACCATTTGTGGTTCACAGAATTAAGAAATGGTGGGATTTAGAATAATACTTCATTTGTTTAGAGTGGGAGGTCAGCAGTACAGAAGAGGAACAGGAGAACAAAATGTAACAGTCAGATTGGTTCCAGAGCAGTTGGACCTGGTAAGTCTGCATAGCATTACAAGTAGTATGTGTGTGGCTGGAGCTGCTGAAGTATTTAGTAAAGAACTGGAGAGGCTGGCAGGTTTGGTAATACATTCTATAATCAGTCCAGCACCAGGAAGGCTGCGGCAAAAAGAAAAAATTAAAGTCTAGCTTGGGCTACATAGGGAGACTCTATCAAAAAATTTTAGAAGAGTATAATGTGACTATGTGTGCATAGCTGTGACTCATGAGTAAAATAAAGACATTACCATATTAGGGCCAGGTGTGGTGGAGCAAACCTTTAATCTTGGGAGGTAGAGGCAGGTGGATTTCTAGAAGGGCAGCCTGGTCTACCGGACAATGCAGTAGAGCAGGACTACACAGTGAGACCCTGTCTCAAGCAACAAAACTCTACCATATTAAAAAACTGACATCAACTCAGACAAAAGAAATGACGACCACTTAATTCTGCATGAGTAGAAAGTGTGTAGGGCACCTGTGCACTTGTGCTCATGGCACCTGGGCACCTGTGCTCAACTGTGGCTTGGGTTTGGGTCAGTTCGTCCACTGACTCCCACAGGTGAATTAATAATGTGCTAGGCTATAGGCCAGCTTTTCTAAGATGATACTCAAGATAACTTGATTGCCTTGTTTTAAATTATGACTCTTAAAATATTTCTTCATGAAATTTTTCTTAAAATTTGTGACTTAATTTTCTTAAAAATTTAAAATTTAATTTTTTTAAAAAAAATTTAGGGAAGACATGCAAGGAATTTGCATAAGACAGCAGTGCAAAGTGGTGCTGGAGGAGCCTTATTCGTGGTAAGTAATTGGAATTCCTCATAATGGAAAAACTTGGGAATTTGAATTAATCCTCTGTAATATCATAAATTGTGGGATATGTTACCACAACTCTGTGGCAGAATACTTGCCTAGAGTATGCAGGGTCTGGGTTCAATCTCTAGCACTGCAAAGGAAAGAATTAAACAACTTTAAATTTTTGTTTTTGTTTTATATGTGAATGTAACTGAAAACATGTATGTACACTATGTACCTGCAGGAGCCAGAGACGGTCAGGTCATCTTAGATCCTTATGAACTTGAGTTGTAGTCAGCTGTGAGCTGCATGTAGATGTTGGGAACCAAGCCTGATTGCTTTGCAAGAGCAGTAAGTGCTCTTAACCTCTGAGCCATTTCTCCTGCCCTCCCTCCCCCAACCCCCAAAAAACAAAACCTTAATTTCTGTGTCTTTGATATATATTGATCACCATGGGGATTTAAATATAGCTTGTTAAATTTGTTATAATTCAAATGATGTTTGGTTCCAGCTGAACCTCTCAATTATATACTAACACCTAGGAATTTAGAAGACTCTAGGATTAAGAATTTTGGCTATTGTGAGCAGGGCATGATGGAGCATGCCTTTAGTCCCAGCACTTGGAAGGAAGATCTCTGAGAGTTTAAGGCCAGCCTGATCTGCATAGTGAGTACTAGGAGCCAGGGCTCTGTTACACAGAGAAACACTGTTTCAGAAGGTGGAAAAATTTAGGTTATTGTTTGGTAATATTGCTATGAGTGCTAATCTGATAGTCAGATTACATGACTATAATTTGAGAAATCCCAACAGGGCATTTGTTTGAAACTCAAGAGTTTATAGTAATACAGTTAGTGCATTATTGCATAATAAATATATTCTTTCACAAAGCAATTGGTCTCCATAGTCTTGGCTTGACAGTTTTAACACTAGGGGTATTTAAAAACTAGCTTTAAATGCTGTGTCTGTTTTTAGTAATTAATCTAGTATTTGATGACAATGGTAGTAAACTTGTATGATGAGTTAGAGTACATACTTCAAATTATTGTCCAAAGCTTCCATTTTCTTCCCTCTTTTGCTTGATACGTTTTTAAAAAGCAAAACTCTGAGAACATCAAGATGTCTTGTTAATATTAAGCTTATTCTGCTCTTTAAAAAATAATTTTTATTTATTTATATTGACTATTGCTGGCTGGCCGGGAACTTGGTATATAAACCAGGCTGGCCTTGAATTCAGAAATCTGCTTCCTGAGTGCTTTTGGGTACTGTGTTAGTCAAGAATTCACATTTAGAATTTTTATTTAAAAATTTTATTGGTGTATATATCTACCTGGATATATGCATGTGGTAAAGGTACCCTTACAGGCCAGAAGGGTCATTGGATACCCTGGAACTAGAGTTACTGGGAGTTCTGTTTCCCAATGTGGAATTCTGGTTCTCTGCATTAGCAGCAAGCATTTCCCCCTGAGATAGGGTTACTTGGTATAATAGAGCCCTAGCTATCCTGGAACTTTCTTTGTAGACCAGGTTATCCCCAAACTCAGAGATCCACATGCCTCTGCCTATATATAAAATGCTGGGATTAAAGGCATGCATCACCATGTCCAGCAGCAGCAAGCATTTTTAACCTCTAAGCCATCTCTCCAGCCCATATTTAAATTTTTGTCTTAATTATATACTGTTGTAGGTATTGTATTTGATATTTGAACTAGAATATCCCATTCCTAGTAAAGCTGGATAACTATTTTTTGTTTTGAAACCAAAAAGTACGCCTTAATCTTTAAGGGTTCATTTTGAAACTATTCTAAAAGTTTTAGTTCTGCTAACTTTACTTTGATAAACAGTCAACAAATAAGTATTTTTAGTCATTCGTGCTACAAAGATAGACTGATGGGATTAAAGTAGAGATTAAATGAGCAGTAACATATAATATAGCAAAAATCATAATGTAGTGTACAGTAGTATTTCAGTTTTAGATAAAATGTTGATAATTAATTTTGGAAAAAAAAAATTTTAATTTTTTTGTATAGCATAGAGATACTCCTGAGAATAACCCAGATACTCCATTTGATTTTACACCAGAAAATTATAAGGTATGTTTAATAAACAACATAGTTGATTTATCAAGTATTCAGTGCATTCATACATATAAAGCAGACACTTTTCCATCTACAGAGGATAGAGGCAATAGTAAAAAACTACCCAGAAGGGCATAAAGCAGCAGCCGTGCTTCCAGTCCTGGATCTAGCCCAAAGGCAGAATGGATGGCTACCTATCTCCGCTATGAACAAGGTATCGAATTCAGTTGGCCTCAGAAAAGAGGAGATAATTTATGTGATAATTTAATATAGAGATCATGATAATCATTAATATCAGAGTTTACTCATACATTCATATGATAGATAGATAGATAGATAGATAGATAGATAGATAGATAGATCCATCTTCTCTTTAGTGTGTTTTTGTAATACAGCTTCCATTCTTGCAGGAAATAGGCACTAATATGAAAGAGATGTTTTTCTCCTCCCACGCCTTTTGAGGGAAATGGTCATTAATGAAAAGATCTCAAATATGTATAATTTAGTATCAAGGTGTTTTGGAAATTAATGGAGTAGAGTTTCAACATCAAAATTACAGGGGAAAAATCCCTTACCAAATGTAATCTCATAATATCTTTACATCTTTAACAAAAATTTGTATCTAATATGTGGTATTTGGTGACCTTCAGAACCGCCAAGTGACCCACTTCAGCCTACTTATAAACACTGTTAAGACTCATCCTCTCTTCTTCCAAGACAGGGTCTCCCTGACACACTTGGCCCCGTCTATTCTTAAGCTTTTGCCTTAAGAATCCTCCTGCCTTAGATGTGAAGATTGTTTTCCAATAGTTTCAGCAATAATCTAGATTTCAGATTTACTTACATCTGTTACTACTATGGTAATTACATTCATGTGACAGTACAGGACATCACTTAGAACATATAAGAACAGCTCATTGTGCTTTCTGCTTGACAAGCTGTCGTGTATCCTCCAACTGTAGTACGCTCATGCTCATCATTTTCTAAACTATTGGTTATGAATAAAATCCACTGTTAAGGTGGATTATCAAAAAAAGAAACAGAAGACAAAGGCTATTATCATTGTTGGGAGAACAGGAATAGACTTTATAAAATGCAAATTTTAAGTTGTATTGATTGTTCTGTTTGTATACCTAATACTGACATGTGTTATAAAGCTTTATTTAATAAGTAAATGCTTTCCTTAGTTATACAAGTGGTTAATTTTTCCAGAAACCTTGATGAAAACTGGGTATTTAGCTAAGTGGAACAGCATTTGCCTATCAACTCCAAAGCACTGGGTTTAATGCTCAGCACTAAGAAAGAAAAAACAAAAAGTAGTATGCTATATAGTTCTTGTGAAAAATGTGTCATTTGAAATTATACCTTTGTTTTTAAACTCTTAAAAATATTTTTAAAAATTAAGTTTAGTTTGTTATGTACATGTGGAGGTCAGAGGACTTCTGTGGTTAGCAAGGTCTTTTACTTGCTTGAACCATCTTGTCAGCCCATGCCTTTTTTTTTTTTTTTTTTAAGGAAAATGTTGGTTTTAGTAATGAAAATATTTAGGTCTCTTGTTGAATAGTAAGACTATAGAGAAAACAAAACAAGTAAGAGTGTAAGAGCATTTAGGACACATGTGCTATTTAGAGCTAGATACATTAGCTTCAGGCAATGTGAACACTGTAATCTTTAATGTTTCAATATTTTAGGTGGCAGAAGTTTTACAAGTACCTCCAATGAGAGTATATGAAGTAGCAACTTTTTATACAATGTATAATCGAAAGCCAGTTGGGAAGTACCATATTCAGGTCTGCACTACTACACCTTGCATGCTTCGAGATTCTGACAGCATATTGGAGACCCTTCAGAGAAAGCTTGGTATGGAATACTTCATTTCTTTTATTAAAATAGCTAAAATAACTGGAGTGCCTTGGGACACAACCTTAATCCCCCTACACTTGGGAGGTAGAGAGAGAGGAATCTATAAAGTTCCAGGACAGCCAGGGCTACACAGAGAAACCCTGTCTTGAGACACCTTTTCCCACCCCTAATCCCAAGCAAACAAAGCAAGCAAGCTTCATCTCTATACATTTCCCAACTTCCAAACAAAATTATCTTTCTAGATCTGACATTTTCCACCTAAAATTTTCAACTTCAGTTTATCTCATTTGGCTTGCACTTACTCAGTATTTAAAAAGATATTTGCTTGCTTTTATTTCTTTCTAGTTTGTGTTCATCTAATTCTCAGCCTCAAGTCTGAACCTTTAATCTGTGTTAATCACTAAGAATGCTAGCATATGTCACATAACAATGACTATGGGCTAGAGAGATGGCTCAGGCAAAGAGCATGTACTACTTTTCCAGAGGACCTGAGTTCACTTCCTACCCAACATCTATACATCAGACAGCTCACAACCCCAATATAATTCCAGCCCTAGGTGGATCAGACATTTCTTGAGGGACCTACACTTATTGCACAAATACACAATTAAAAATAATTTCTAGAGTGTCTGTGTACTTTTCTAGAGAAACCATAGAATAAGTAACAACATAGTAGGAATATTTCACAAGGGAAATTTTAAATAGATATATTTATAGCATATTTATAAAATAAAACAAATGAATTCTTTCTATACAAAATTGCCATTGTTGCTGAATCCAAACTCAGAGATCTGCCTGCCTTTCCCTCTGGAGTACTGGGATTAAAGGTTTGTGCTACCACTGCCTGCCTGCATTTATTTTTGACTGTAAAGTTAAAACATCTTTCAATTTTTCTTCTTGTACTGAGGAAGTACAGGCTTCATTCATACTAGAGGCAAGTACACACTTAACACTGACTTGTGTTCTTAGCCCCATTTTTTACTTACTTTGAAATAGGGTCTTACTAGTTGATCAAGTTGTTCTTGCTCGAAGTCCTCTGACTCTCAAGTAGTAGCTGATCTTTTTCATCAGTGTGGCTTTTTAAAAAATATATGTCCTTGCATGTCACAGATACATTTGGGCAGTATCAAAGTATATAAGGCTGAAAGATCAAGCTGGCTCTTAAAACACACCTCTAAGGTAGAGATTCTGGTAACTGCTTGGAATATAGGTTACAGGTTTTATATCTTTTATTATTAGCAATTAAATGTAATATATGTGCTCTTATATTATGTGGTATAACTTTGGACTTAATGCATAGCACACATTGTTCTTATTTTTTGCTGTTATAGACAAGAGTACTCTAGTAATTTCATATCTACACACCTTTGCATGTTTTCCATGTTGTATATTAAGATCATTTGTAAGAAATTGCTGAGTCACGCTTCCTGTATTTTGCCAATTCCTTCCCTTAAGGATATGAGTATTCATTTTTCTTACCTCTGTAATGATCCTCTGAATCTTTGCCAATCTTATGGTGTAACTGTGTTATTAGCAGTCCAATTGGATACTTGTTTTTTTTTTAATGACTTTTTTGTTTATGTGTGTACAGTGCCCTTGGTGGCCAGAAGGGGGTGTTGGATCCCCTGGGACTGGAATTATAGATGTTTGTGACACACAACTGTATGGGTGCTGGGATCCAAACCCAGATCCTCTACAGGAACACCCAGTGCTCTAATCACCTAGAAACCTCCAGCCCATTTTTTGTTTTTTTGTTTGTTTTTTTGTTTTGTTTTGTTTTTTGAAGCTTGAGAACAATTTTATTAGTTTAAAAGAAAAACCCCGAAGCAAACAAACTATAAATATCCACTGCTTCCTGTAGAAGTGAGACAGAGAAAGGTAGAGCCATGCTGTTTGAGGTAGGCTAGAGGTCAGCCATGTGGCAGATAAGCAGCTAGGTGGTATGAGCAACAAGTTGAGTCTTAGCACAGAGTGAATAAAAACTGTGAGCACTGGTCTCTGGGTTTTTATTGATTTTAAAGGAACAAACCTACTTGAAAAATAGCTTGAAGCTAGGCAGGTGGCTTTTGCCTATAATCCCAGACCTCTGGAACCTAAGCCAGGAGGGTTGTCATGAGTTAAGAGGCCAGGCCTGAGCTTCAGTGTGAGACCCTGTCTTCAAAACAAAACAACAAAACCTTAAAGGCAAAAAATTGAAATGAGTGTTAGGTTGTTATCATTATGTTGATTTTTTTTGAGACCAGATCTCAATATTTGGTCCAGGCTAGTCTTGAACTTGAGTCCTGTCTCTGCTTTCTAAGTGCTGAGATTAAATGTGTACACCATTATGCTTGGCACTTTTCATTTTTACAGAAATTTAATGTATTGTCATTTTTATTAGACAATATTGCTTTTGTGCTATAATCTATTTCTTATAATGATCATTTATATTTTTAGGAATAAAGGTTGGAGAGACTACACCCGACAAACTTTTCACTCTTATAGAAGTGGAATGTTTAGGGGCCTGTGTAAATGCACCAATGGTTCAAATAAACGACAACTACTATGTAAGTATTCATCCAACTTCATATAAGCTAAAGTTCTAAAGTGTTCTCTTTAAGATATTTTATTTCATGTTCAGATATTGGTTCTTGAGTTATTCATTTAGAAGAAACTATTAGTATAAATATCTAAAAGATTTTAAAAGAATTATCTTTAAACATTTTGCATTTTTCTACAGGATATAAATTTGAGTTTTAATTATGACAAATTTAGTTATTTACATGTAGTAAAAACCAAATTGAAACAGCAACACTTTATAGAGCATTTACTTAGATGATATTGTCTATGCGCACGCCTTTAATCCCAGCACTTGGGAGGCAGAGACAGGCGGATTTCTGAGTTCGAGGCTAGCCTGGTCTACAGAGTGAGTTCCAGGACAGCCAGGACTACACAGAGAAACCTTGTCTCGAAAAAACAAAACAAAACAAAACAAAAAAACCAGATGATATTGTCTATCATTATTATTTGCAGAAGAAATTATACATATAAACACCTCAAATCTTTTTCTCTCTAGATAGTATCATAAATTTAATGTGTATTCTTTTTATAGTTTTTAAAGCTTTTTCTGTAGTCTGTATCTATAGTAATATGTCATTGGTTGCTTAAATTTTTTTTATATAGATGAAATATATAACATTCCTCTACTGCTTTATCTGTATCTCAAAAGGTTGTTTTGTTTTGTGTTATCTCTTTATCTTTGACCTGTACGTTTTCTGGAGGTGTTCTTAATATCCAAATAAGTGGAATTTTCTAATTAGCATTTTAAATTACTTGCTGCCCCTATTATATCATGTCTTTCAACTACAATATTTTGTTAGTTTTTATTTCTTAGAAAATAGTATATGGAGATTCTTTGAGGTCTTTGCTGAAGATAACATTTTCAAGAATGGACTTATTCTCTTCTGCTCCTAGAGGTACTAATTGCACCCCCAAAGGGTGCAATGACATGGGTTCCAGCATAGAAATTTTCTTTGCAGGACAATTTACTTTCTAGTTTATCTTTGTATTTAATGTATAGCTTTTTTTGACCTTAACTGGGGTTTGGTTCATAATTTCTTGCTGAAATTTCTTTGACGGTTTTGTTTTGTGCCTCTGTTATGTATAAGTCAAACAGGAATTAGTCAGGGCTTTAAAAGAAGCATAAATTTTGATATTGTAGGCCATAGTACTTGGTGTCTAAGATATTTTTTTCTTTTTTTTTTTTTTTCAATTAGTAGTTAGAGCTTGATACAGGATAGACATTAGGCCTGTACTTCTCAGGCACAACAACTGGTGATAGATAATCACTCTTTGAACCACATTGCTTCTTTCAGGTTAGCATTTGTTTTGTTCTTTGGTGCTTCCCTATTTTATGTTTTCTTATTGTCTTAGTTACTGTTCTTATTGCTGTGAAGAGACTCCATGACATGGCAACTCTTATAAAAAAGAAAACCCAATTTGGGTCTTGCTTATGGTTTCAAAGGTTTAGTTCATTATCATCATGACAGGAAGCATGTTGAAAGCTACATCCTGATCTGCAGGTAGTCACAGAGATACTAGGCTTGGCACAGTCATAACACACTTCCTTCAGCTAGGCCACACCTCCTAATCCTTTCAACTAGTGCCATTCACAGGTCACTGAGCATTCAAATAGACGAGCCTATGGGGGCCACTCTTATTCAAACTAAGTAACCTTCAAAACAAGTTCAAATTGAGTTACCAATAAAGGAACCTGGGTGACTCCTTGAGATACTAGAGAGGCCAGAATTCAGACACAGAAATACACTTACTTTTGCCTTTTCAGCTAAAGCTCTTAATATATATTGCATTATATATTGGAGTTATTCAGTTGTAGATATCTTGGTAAGTAATAAATGAATTAATTTTAAGGACTTACAGTTTTGTTTTGTTCTTAATAGCAGTTTGTTAACGTCTTCAATTTTTCTCTAGGAGGATCTGACACCCAAGGATATTGAAGAGATTATTGATGAACTCAAGGCTGGGAAAGTTCCAAAACCGGGGCCAAGGTATACTTTTATTTAATATATAAACTCTAATGGCATAACCTACACTGAATTGATCTTTCATGGAAGCTGGATTTTAAGAGTTTTACACTCATTCATAGGAGGTGACTGGAAGTTTGCATATCTAAAGCTGTCATCTAGAGCAATCTAGAGCAAGGTTTTGTTTTTTGTTTTTTTTTTTTTCCTTAAAAATCCATAAAATAAGTCTGGGGAGATGGTTCAGTGTTCATAAAGTTCTTTCCCGCAAGCCTTAGGATGGGAGTTCAGATTCCCAGATTCCACACATAAAAACTGAGTGGGGGTGGTCTTGGGAAGAGGAGACAGGGAATCCCCTGAGCAAGGTGGCTAGCATTCAGTGTGAGACAGATCCTCGATATATAAGGTAGAGAGTGATAGAGGCAGACATCTAACATTGACTTTGGGCCCCCATGTGCACATACATACATCACATACAAACACATGTACAAACATGCCTACATACATCTCATACATATATGGAAAAAATTTTGTAAGATAATTATCTGTGGCTGGGCAGTGGTGGCACATGCCTTTAATCCCAGCACTTGGGAGGCAGAGGCAGGTGGATTTCTTGAGTTCAAGGCCAGCCTGGTCTACAGAGTGAGTTCCAGGGCAGCCAGGGCTACACAGAGAAACCCTGTCTTGAAGAACCAAAAAAAAAGATAATTATCTGTGATCTACCAGAACATTTATACTGAAAGAGAATCTTCTACAAATAGAAATTGCTTAAAAGTTCACGTTACTAGAAGATTGATCTGAATTTAGCCTTCCTCTTATTTCCACCTAAAGATCCATTTTTCCTTTCAATCAATACAGGATAATTTTAAATATATTTTTAATTTTGATCATGTATAATGTATATATGGAGGTCAACTTTGTGGAGTTGCTTCTCTTACACCTGTACAAGTTTCAGGTTTTGAACTTGGGTTGCTAGCCTTTTCAACAATCACTTTTGCTTTCCTACTGACCTATGTCATTGATCCCAATACAAGATGATCTTTAATTATTACTTTTATTGAAATAGCTATCTTGTATTCTCCCTATCTTTTTGACCTACTTAATATCACAGATCTTTAGTTTTCCTTATGTGCCATAGTTTGATCTGCATGGGATTTCCTTGCGAATTCACAGTGATGCTTCAGACTAACTTTAGTACAGTCATATGTCACATAATGACTTAGCCAGCAATAGACAACAGACACAATGATAGTCCCATAAAGTTATATTAAAGCTGAAAAGTGCCTTTTAACATTATTTTGAGATAAGGTCTTACTATCACCCTGGCTGGTGTGGAGCTCACTATATAGACCAGGTTAGTAACTCACAAAGCTCTGCCTGCCTTTGCCTCTGGAGTGCTGGCTGGGATTAAAGGTGAATACTACTATACCTGGCCAGCTTTTTAAAGTAAAAATTTACATATGTTAATCACTAATAATCATTACTTGCTTTTCTTTCCAGGAGTGGCCGCTTCTGTTGTGAGCCAGCCGGAGGCCTTACTTCTTTGACTGAACCACCCAAAGGACCTGGCTTTGGTGTGCAAGCAGGCCTTTAACTTATATTCAACTGTAAAAGTGTCACTGGAGAAATAAAATATGAACTTACATAATAAGTTTTATACTATTTTCTTATTCCCACCTGTACATCTTGGTAGTAATCTAGTAACTTACAGCTGTTAAACATTGTCAAAACAACAGAACTACTATCTTAGTCTATCTGTGAAGACTGTTATTATAACAATCAAGTTAAGAGTTATTTTAGTGTTAACCATTCATAGTGCCACATCATTTTTATCAGTAGTAGGTTATTATTGTGAAGTAAAAATTTTGCAAAACTTCAAATACATTTTTTCTTTGTATCTTTAGACACAGCCAAATTGTTAAAAATTTTTATAAGCTTTATGTCAATATTCCCTTCAAGCGTTTTAATATTTAAGTATATAGTTCTAACCAAGTTTCTGACTGGTAAGACCTCACTACCAGTAATAAGGGTAAGAGGATTTTCTCTAAAAGTATTTTATTTATGTTTGCCATCTCATTTTGTAGCCCTACTTGTATGTTTACCAGGCTGGCCTTTCAACTTTGGGTACTTTTGCTTCTGCCTCCCAAGTTCTGGGATTATAGTAAAAGCACAACTTATAAGAAGAAAGTTAAAATAATTTGATTCTATCTTTAGCTATATTTATTTATTTAGATACAGGATCTCACTTTGTAGACAAGGCTGGATTAGAACTCATAGAAATCTAGTAAAGGTATTCAACAGCCACCACACTTGGCCTTTAGCTTTGTTTTTGTTGTTCAGGCAGGGTTTGGCCATCATTGGCTATACTTTTAATACTAGAAGCACCTAAGAAATAAATGTTGGAGTTGGTTAGTTGAACAATATGTGTTTGTATGAATAAAACTATTACATTCAACTCAAGAAAGGAGGTAATGGGGGGATGGGGTAAGGGAATAACATATGAAATGTAAATAAAACATCCAATTAAAAAAAGAGAGAGAAAGGAGGTAATAGTACAGTACTTCTGAAAATGCATATAGAAATAGTTTTAATTCATGGAATAATCAGATTGCTTCAGGATTTATCAAAGTCAGTGGCCTTACAGGTGCCTCATTATAGTAGTAGGGACTCAGGAGGCAGAGGCAGGTAATCTCTGAGTTTGAAGTCAGCCAGGTCTATGTATGGAAGTCCACACCAGACAGAACTACTTAATGAGATTGTTGTCTTTAAAAAAAAAAAAAAGCCAGATTTATTTATTTATTTATTTATTTATTTATTTATTGGTTTTTGGAGACAGGGTTTCTGTGTAGCCCTGGCTGTCCTGACAGATTTATTTTATATTATGTGCATCACTGTTTTGCCTGTGTGCCTGGTGTGCACCAAAGCCAGAAGACAGCATTGGACACCCAGGGACTGAAGTTACATATAGTTCTGAGTGGTCATGTGGGTGTTGGGAACAACTGAACCAAGGTACTCCCAACAGTGCTTTTAACCCCTAAGCCATTTCTCCAGCTCTGTCTATAAAGACAGACTAACTGGTTGTGAGTGCTTACGATTTAGGGTTTAAGGTAGGTCTTTAAAGTTAAGTTTTCGCCAGAAATATAGCTCTCTCAATACACCACTGTTGGCTACTTGCTTGGCATGAACAAGGACATAGGTTCAGTCTCCAGTACACACATATATAGAGTTCTCTAGAAGGAACAGAGTATTTCTTCCCATCTTAGAGCCTCCTGACATAAAGAGAAACCTTTTGCTTCTTGTCACACATATCCAAGTTGTTATATTCCAATAGCAGCAAAGTGGTTTCCTACTGTTTATACTGAGTTGTTTTTATTACGTGAGAACATGGAAGAAAATCTACCCTTTTTTTTAAAATGCAGGTTTATGTCCCAAAAGTCACATCAGAATTTTCAGATTATTGATAGGACTGTCTTAAACTCCCCATTAAGGTACTAACGGATACTGAAGGAGGCCACAGTTAACGATGAGGGAGAAGATGGTTTCCTGCGGAGTATGTAACTTCTTGGGGTGGTTAAGGCACAACGGTTACTGGCTAACCGCTGTAGATTAAAGTATTCAGAAGGAAGTCTGAGGACAAGCTGCTGCGATGGTAAAATTTCCTCACACGCCCTATGAGACTTAGTACCACACGGACAAATTTAGTGAAATTTCTGTTCAGAAAGGTCAAATGATCCCGTGGCTAGAACCGGGCATAATGCCGCGTTCTTTGTAACCTGTGCTCATAGCGGTTCTTTGGGGTCTGGGTGCGTCTGGCTTGGATGCTTCACGGTCCGCACCGCATGCTGCTGCTCAGACGCGCAACCCGGACCCGCCCCACAGCGCTGCGGTGCCCTTCCGCTGGCTCGACCACCCTTAACAAAATCCTCCCGGTCTGCAGCTGGCTTTGCCGTCCCAACTCAAACCCTGCAAAAATATGTGCGTTTCCTCCGCCGAGCTCCGGCACCCACGCCGCCTTTTCCACATCTCGGGTGGTTGTGGCTGCGCGCGAGGAGTGCCAGCAGAATGTCCCGGCCCGCGGCTCGAGGACTGCTCCGACTCCCAGCGGCTCCCACAGCTCCTCGGGCGCGGCCGGCTCCGGAGGCCCAGAACTTCCGGCCCCCTCCACCCGCTCCGCTCCGCACCGCTCCCCACGAACGCCACCCGCCGCCGCGCGCTCGGCTCCTCCGAAGAGCCCAGGGACGGGCACGTCGGGGGCGGGGCACGGCGGTCACGCCGCCCGTCCCGTGCCTGCAGGAGTCACGTGTCCGTCCGGGTCACGTGCTCGCGCCGCAGCCAATCGCGGAGAACGCTGTCCAAGAGCAAGGAGGCTGTGGTGAGAGACCGACCAAGACCGGAGATGTTTTCAAGCCTGGCCCCGGCGGCATCAGGGGCTGGTGCAGCAGCGACGGAGACACTGGCAGTGGCGGCCACCCGGAGGTCCTCGTTCAGGGGGTGAAACCTTCTGCGCCCGCCGAGCCTCGGGTCCGTGCGGGCCAGGGGGGCGTGGCGACCAGAGGGGAGGAAGGAGGGCGCGGTTTCGAGTCTGTCCCGGGCACCAGGGAGGAGACCCTCAGCCCTCAGTCCGGTGCCCCGTCTCCTCCCCGGAGCCAGGTAGGGGGTTGCGCCTCCACCAGCCGCGCCCAGCCGTGTGCCACGCGCCGCCCGGCCCAGCCCAGCCCGCGGCGCGGCCGGCCGGACTGTGACAGGCCGTTGGTGGCCGCCCCGCCCCGCATCCTGACGGGTCGCGGTGCAGGTGGGGCCGCCGCTGGGCGACGCTCGGGCGGCGGCTAGCGCGAGCGCCTTGGCCGCCGCTTACCGGAACATGGCGCGGCCGGGAGGGCGCCGCCAGCGCACCCGGACGGACGGCATCGCGGCGGCGCGCCGTGCCATCGCGCGCTCCCGGTGCCAGCCGCGCTGTGTGCGCGGATGTCGGAGACTCGGTGCGGGCCGGGGCGTAGGAGGCGCGATGGTCCCGGGAGAGGTGCGTGAAAGCGAAAGAGCCGCGGCTCACGGAGCCAGTTCTGTCCTAAATGCCAGTGCGATCTGCCATTGCCGCGTTGAGAGATCAGGTCTAGTTTGTGCCAGTTCCGATTGGAATGATGTCCAGAGACCCTTAGGAGCGCGTTGAAATCTTAGATCTGATTTTTGAAGAGTAATATGGGGATGACGCATCCTTCAGGATCCACAGCATTGAATAAAAAGGCTGTATAAAGAGGTCACCAAAGCCCAGCTGACAGCTGTTATAATAATTACAGTGAGAATAGTTGAGGGTGGAAATGAACAGTATTGCATTAGTTGAGTACATCGGAAACATTTGAAGCAGTGTGGTTGTAGGGACTGTAATTTCCGCTGGATACCCCTTGAACTGGGGTGAAGTATGTTGCAAATCCGGCGATCAGTGACGCTCTGGGATTATCTCTAATTCTGTGGTTGAGGTAAACCTGCATCCTCAGCCATGTGTTTCTTCTTATTTTTAAAATGCTCTGAGTCAATTATAAAGGAAGATGAACTATTCAACTAAGTCATCTGTTCATTAAAAACATATGCCCAAGTAGGCCTTTAAAAATCTTGGTACTGATCTTTTTCATTTTCTTCAAGCATTACACAAAGGCGTTCCTGGAGATTAACTCAGAACTGGCAAAATGTGCTCTCTTGATGACAAATGTCTTGAAAGCAGAAATTCGTTAGAATCGCCACGTAATGACGAAGACGTTGTAGTACCCTTAAAAACATTTCAGTATGACATTTAATATTTTAATACATTTGTTTACATAGTAAACGTAGATGGCAGAGGACAACTCCCTAGAGTTGGGGTTTTCTCCTTAAACTCTGTGGGTTCCAGAGCTCCAGCTCAGGCACTTAGGTTTGGTGGTACTCACCTTTATGCTCTGAGCCATCTTGACCTCCTTCAATTGACCTCTTGAGAGCGCTCTCATTTGGATTAAAAGCGAAAATATATAAAAGCATGCAACACTTCTCCCTGAGTGTATAGATTCAGAGAGAAAGGTTTCACTAAAGAATCTTTTATAGTCGATAGAAGTACTAATCGTATTTCCAACACTCTACAAGGCAGCTTGACCCAGAACAAACTTAATTGTTCAATGTATGTGTTCTGTTTTAGAGACTGGCAAAGTTCTCTGGGATTGAAACCAGGGGGTTAAGTGTATTAGTGGAAGGAATATTAGAGTTAAAAGTTAGAAGCTGTTCTCAGTTTGCTACAGTTTGTGTATTTTAAAATTGTTAACATAGTCTATGGAGTTAGAACCGTTGAGACAGTGGTGATCTCTGGGTATGCACCCTGTGAAGTGAGTTGGAGGAGTTAAGAGAGCAACAGTGAAAGAACTCAGTTGCTGAAGATGTTCTGCAGTTTCGGTATTGGCTCTTTAATATCCAAGAAAAAATAATAGTTGGACTTTATATGGAGACAGTTGGAATATGTGGGAAAAGAAGATGCTTTTTATCCAGATTGCAGTGTTGTGGAAGTGTAGCTTCGGCGGAAGCCCTGAATTTCATCCCCAGCATTGTGTGACGAAGGTTTGCTGGTTGACAACGTGTAGTGTCTGTAAACCCAGCACTCAGGAAGTAGAAGTAGGAGGATCAATTCAAGGTTGG